ATATAATACTCTAAGAACTCTTATAGAAGTTAAGGGGTTCTACCATTGTAGGTTTGGTGGGGGACTCGCCTTTTGGACCTAAAGGTCTGGGGGTGCAGCAGTTTTTAGCTAGTTAGTGAGACTAGTTTATAAATGTAAATTCTATAGTACGATAAATTTAGGGAAATAATAGCCGCTTATCTTGCATTCATACTTGTTATTTGTAATATAGCCGGGGTGAGGGTGAGGCTGCCGATAGGAGTCGTTCGCCCTCACTTGACTCGAGCACGTGGGGGTACCCCTGGTCGAGCCAAGTGAGCTACCCATATTGAGTAGCTCTTAAAGTAAATTGTAATGGGGTACCTAGGTGCCCTAGGAATTGTCTTTGGTGTTGTGTTGTTCGTTGTCTTCTGTGTTATTTTGCCTTTTTAGTTGTTGTTGTTGTTTCGGGGGGGTCATGTTTTTGGCAGCTAAAATTACGATAGCTAAAGCTTAGAAAACGTCAAGGGTATCCTTGAGGCAAGTAAAGACTAAGCTGTCATGGATCATGATCCATGAAAAACTGGCAAGTATATTACTGGATAAAAGCGTGCAGTTTGAGCGTACATGGGATCCCTGGCTAGATTATACCAACTCTACCATAATATGAGAGAGACGGAGTGACTCTGGACCCCAGCCCTCCCCGACCAAAAACATTTTTTTTTCTTTATTCTTTTACTGGTTCTCTAGTTCTGCCTTTTATTCTTTTTTTGAAAATTGGTGGGGACGAGAGAGTAATGCTATTTTTGTTTTGTATGTACGTTGTCAAACTACATTGTGATATGTTTAAGTGTTTTGTTATGTCTTGGCGAAAATAATAAAAACTTTTGAAAGTCTATAGGTGTTGCAGACCAAATTTGGATTAAGCAAAACGCTTCACCGGTCTCTCAAAGTGGACTAATTGTTTCCGAATATCTACTAATGAGATTCTACAAGCTTTTAACAGAGCATGTAATACAATTACTGTGTCCACCCATAGAGAAATGGTATTTAGGGTTTAGCATGGAGCCCGTATCTCTCCACATAGGTCTCATCTTATGGGACTTAGTTGTTCTTCTAAACATCTGAAATGTAGGCAGGAATCACCAGGTTTTTATCATGCTTTTGGAATGATATTGCCCAGCATACTCAGCAAAACTTGGTTAAGTATTTACCTCTGTCTGTAGCTTGGGCGATCTTTGGAATCCTAGATCTGCATGGAGTGAGAATCACTCCTGGAAGTAGGAAGCTACTGTCTATTATATGTTTGGTGTGGAAGAACACGATCCTGCATCAATGGATATACTCTGAAGCACCTTCTTTAACTCTCTTTTTGAGCAAGCTGATGTTTGTATTTCAAAATGATTGGACTGAGACAATGCTCAGCAAAGACACTCAAACTCAAAAGTTTGTTGATGTATGGGAATCATTTATTGACTCTATAACGACTATTACAAAACAAAAACATATGCAATCTTTTATCTTGACACTGTGGTATGCTAAGAGGATAATTTCCAATGATCCCTCAATAATTATAGCTGATTAGAAGAAGGTCTTCTGTTCCTTATTAGGTCAGTCGCTCTTTTCCTTTCTTTTTCTTTCTAATACTGTATTTATTCATGCGGTCAACTTGGAATGTAGTTGTATGTTCTTTTGTATAGTTTAAGATGTTATTCTTTTTTTTTTCTTTTTTGTTAATATGTCTTTATTATTTTATATTGTTTCTTGGTCTTTAAATAAAAAGAATAAAGTAAAATGTCAATTATTTTTACCCATTTATCTGGTAACCTTTTCCTCATTAGGTTTCGCCACCACCAGCCTAACCTACCAATTCTCCTGTCACCTGTAAACCAATATCTATCCCTCATCTGCCATCCACATACGGACTTATGTTCCAATACACCTCCCCCTCAGTTCTGTCATCTGTCACCCGGATTCTCAAAATGGTACCTCCCCTCCACTCTGTCCCAGCACTCTTCTTCTTTACCTCTCTTTCCTGCCAAACTAACAACCTTCCACTGCTCCGTTCCGTCATCCCCCCTCCCTAAACAGATTTCAATCTGGTGCCTTTTTTAGTGTAAATTAACAGCTCTTCAGAGCCATAAAACTAAATGTTATCCTAATTAACACACTCCAATCCTATGTGTTAACTGTAAGGCTTTATGCCTTCTTCACGCACTGATAGTGTTTCACCCCCTGTTCAGCACCATTTGTTGATGTCCTGTCCCATTTTATTTCTGATCCCTTCTAGATTACCTTTTAACCTAAGTTCCAACACTTGTGAAATGACCTAATTAATAAAGTAATTACAATGAATTTGCTTTTTTGTCATTATTTCCCACAGTTCTAAACCTGGGTTATAAATAGGGTTTACAGACCTGGCTGTTCCTAATTTTGCACACAACGTTATTTGCTATATATTTGAGTGTTGTGGAAATTGTCATATATATGATTTTATCATGAGGAAGCCATTATTTTTTTATATATATGTTATAGATCTCTTTTATTAGGTGTTTGCATCTTAGAATGGTTGATTATATATTTTTTCTTCTCGCATATGGGTTATACTGTATTGATTTTATTTTATACTTCATATACAATGCAATTATGGGACTGGTTTACAAATGCATTTAATATACAGTATATGAATCTTATAGACTATATGTGAATTTTGTATATGAATTAAGTTTATATATAAATGATCTTTTAGACTGATTTTGATGCAACACATGAATTTTATTTTCTATACCTTATTGTTATATACTGTAACAGGAATTTCATATACATTTCATATACCCCAATGCATTTAAATGCTTCAAAGGAGAAAGTCACTCTGAGTTTGGGATACCACAAGCAAGAGTTCTTATCACTTCTCATTTACACACTCAAACGACCCTGTCCAGGGTCTTCCTGCCCCCAGAGAGTTTCTATATCTCCACTCTCACTGTCGGATCTTACAGTCCAGGAGTCCTATGACCATTCGGTTTTACACTGAAAGTTCTGGGCCTGATGGTGGCCTCTTTTGAGGCAGTTCCATGCTCCTTTTCACTGCAGGCCATTTCAGCTTAACATTCTATCTGTGTGGGACAAACAGGTTCTGTCCCTGGGTCTCCCCATCTAATTGTCTTGCAAGATGAAGCTTCCTATGGCATGGTAGATATCCAGCCCATTGCTGGAGTCAGAGAAGTCCTTACTTCTGATGACTTGGAAGGTGCTCAGAGTATGTCAGTGCTGCTCAGAGAGAAACAGACCTGATTCTTGCTCGGGTGGAAATTCATGTTTCAGACAAACTGGACAGGTTTGTAGCCAAGACAAAGGATCTCCGAGTCTTTGCGGTTGATAGCTTGGTGGCTTCTGTGGGATCAATTCAGCCTGATCTATGCCTTCCTTCCTCTGAAACTTCTGCCTCGACTCCTTTGCAGAATTAACAGGTGATCCTCACTTGCCCAGGAGGACTTGGTACACAGATAAATTCAAGTTTCTGGGGAAATCTTTGTGGGCACTTCTGGATTGTCTGGACTTCTTGTCACAAGGACTGGTATTCCACCCTGCTTCTTAGTCCAAAGGGGCAGGTCCTGAGGGACAGATGCTTTTTTGGACACTACTCTCCTTAAGGATAGAAAGTCAACCTCCCACAAGGTCTAACATCACAAGTGGAGGGCTTTTTTCCACTTTGTTTGAAGCCAGGAAGTTCCATCCTATAAAGTACTGTTTATAATGCATTTTATCCTTTCTCCAGTCTGTCCTGGACCAGCATTTAACCTTGAACACTATCAAGGGTCAGATTTCTACCTTGGCAATTCTCTTCCAGAGATGTTCAGGCCCTTCTCTTGGGCTGCTATTGAACATCTCAGTGGTTGAAGAATTTAACTCCCTGTGTCCTGTGATGCACAATAAAGAAAACAGGATTTTTTTCTTCACTGTAAAATCATTTTCTTGGAGTACATCACAGAACACTCCTTTTTGTATTTTGTGATCTACTTTGTACTGCTTGCGACAAAACTGAGGCAGGCTGTGAGTGGCAGGGGTTTCAAAGTGCTGTCCTGCAGCTTTGATTGATTTGTCAGTGTCCAACCACCCAAAGGTCACTGCATATCTCAGTGGTTAAACCACTTTATAGCCATCTAAATGAATGCTAGGGTGTCTCCACTGCTGTATGCTTACTGAAAGTAACCAATCAGACTGTCAGGAGTCCAAAAGGAAGGAAAATCTGTTTTTCAACGGATGCTAATGCAAAGGCACTGAAAAATTGATTGGTGTGAATGGGACCAGTTCACAACTCTGCATGTTGATATTTGTCCACTCAGGACATGTTAATTTAAATAAAAATTGGCAAAAAAAGAGAATGGAAGTCAAAGGAGGTAGAAACTGCATGTAAACAGACCCTCCCTTGATTTTACCGTCTGATATTAAGGGATTATATCCCAGTATAAACCACCTGGGCAATAAAAGAGCAGCACCTTATAGATAAGCCATCACCCTGCTCATGCTTCTGTCTCCTCTGGTTAGTATGTTGTCTATGTTACACTGACATTAATAGGTAATGCAGCTGAGCTTGGGCAGTTGCTACTGCTGGTCCTTTGGAAATTGATTTAAAGACAAATCCAGGTACTTGTACCATATGTATTTAATAGCACATTTGTGTTATAGTGCAACGCAATGCTCAGATGTTACTCATCTGTGCATTCTTGGGTACTATAGAGTTTTGCGTGAAATGTGTCAGATTTGGCTTTTTTTTCCTCCACTTTTTTGTGTCATACCAATACAAACAAAATAAATAAACATGAGAATGTTTAATTGCAGCACTTTTCTGCAATTGTCAAAAGTGGTGCATTGTCTGACAGAAATGCAGGGTGCCAGTATATTTGGCCATGACTGTAAATCTTCAATATTTCCACATGTTTAATTCAACACAAACAAATTATACATGAGTATGTCCCTTTTACGTGCATGAAACACTGTTGATTTCCTTTAATTTGTGTTCCCTTTTCTGCTCTTTACAGACTTCCCTTGATGTGTGTATTGCAGAGATTCGCTTTTCTTCTTCCTGGTTTTCTCTTGTTTCTCTTCCTTTAAATGTGACCTTGAATTATTCTGCATCTGAAGATTGCGAATATTATGACGAAAGATCAGAGATTGCAGGCACGGTTCAGATTGTGGGTGTAAACATACCAAAAGTTCAGCGAATAAGTGTTGGGGACTTTGTGACAATTACTCTACCTGACAAGACACTGTTACCTGGAGAGGTGTTTACGGCATCAATTAGCCTTCAACATAACTGGACACAGCCTATCTTTAGCCTTAGGTGAGGATTTCCGGGAGTCTAAAACCTAATTGGTAATATGAGCAACCGTTATGCTTTTGCTCTACTTCTCATAATTTAGCCCTAGTGCTATGTCAGAGCATGTCTTTAATAATAAAGAAAAAGTGCACAGCCAATTTATTGTCATAACAGAGAAAAAATGGTTTGCCACTGCATACAGAATGGATGAGACATCAGAAAAGCCAGTAGAGTGATGCTAACCAATAAAAGTAACAAAATGAGGCATGAAATGTGGAGATCTATGTGACAGACTCCAGTACTCAGGATGAGTATGTCCGCCGCTGTATTCTTCCTTGTTGAGGAGATTTTGCAACCAAGTGATCTTTAGCTCCCTGTTTCCCCAGTCACTGAAACAGACGAAACCAAGTGTAGGGTGAAAAAAACTCTGCTTTATTGAGCAACTGTACAACCTTTTATACACAAAGTCATCAGATTAGATTATAATCCCATCACATACACCCTGCCCTCCCCAGACATTCTGACTGTACAACCCGCAGGGGTCCAGCTGCTAAAGAGCTCCAGACAGCCATAACAGGAGTCTAGCCAGATGTAGGAGATAGCCATTGTCCTGAGCTCCTTGGAGTACAAAGGGAGCTAACGGGGGGGGGTGGTGCTGACAGTCTTTTGATAAACATTGTGAATCATTTTTTCTCTGTTAGCTTGAAAATTGGAAGGGGGGTCAGTCATATTCATGGGTGTCAAGCAGTTTTCAAACTTCTTTTTACTTAGGAGTGTAGTGTGTTTTTGCTAACAATCACCTAGACAAGTTTCTATTATCCTTTTTAATTGGTATACATTTGAGCTTCCAAGCACTAGTAAAGAATACTCTTTCTGTTGCCATAAATCTAAATATAAAAGGACCGTAGACATAGATTTTTTCTTTTACAGTTTTAAAAGTAAAGTGCAATATCAGTATGCTTATATTTCAGGCTAGAATGCATTGTCTGCTGGGTCCTAGTACTGTTGGTAGCATCACTTGTATATTAGATTTGGTATACTAAGCCATTTTCAACATTTTACAGGATACGATGCCGTACTGGGTTGGAGCTTCTCTTTGCTCGGTCTGCTGCTCCAAACACCTGGGCAATAAAAACAGAAACACAGAAAGGAGCCAAACATCACACCATTGTAGGGCACTTAACTCATAGAGGATCTTCCGAGCGCAGGTGAGACCATAGAGTACATTTTCATCCACACAAATTAACCATAATTTGAAGAAGTAATTTTTGTTTTGTAAAAAAGTTTACCACACACAGAACTCTGTTTTCTCACCTAACAGGCAGATTACCAAATACAATTGTAGTGTTTATGATTTTTTCATTTGAGTTTGTTAGCAATATTATATTTAAAATGACAGCTGGAAAATTACTAGAATGATTGTTGTATAAAAGAAATGCCCTTTTTGTGTGTGATCACACGAGGTATTCAAATTGACACCCAGGTGTGGAATAATTATTCTTAGTTTAATGGTTGAGCTCACAGTTTAAATATGCTTTGTAATGATAAGAATTCTGACTATGCATGCACCTAGACCGTATTTACAAAATGACCTTCAGAAGGGGCCAGTTCGTTCTAGCTGAAGCTGCTTACTGTTTAACTAGCTAATTGTAAAGGTTATACAAGGTTGCGTCTGTTAGAAGATGAGACAAAATGGCTGAATATAAAAACAAAATGCAGGACAAAGAATTTCATATATACACATTCTTTCATAACTTCCCTTTTGTTTATAAACACCCCATGACCACGAGTCCAAGGTACTTCCAGGTTGAAGAAACATCTGGCATGTTCCCCAACTGGGTCTCTCCTGATTTCGTACCAGCAAGAGTTCCGTTCCCTCGGAAAAGAGTCTCTTTAAACTTAATTCGCAGTGTGAATATTCCTTCAGCAAAAATGGGAATGGGGTGTTGTTGGTTCTCTGACTTGCACATTCGAGATAACAGACACATAGCGATATTAACTGCAAAGTAAAGAAATAAATTGAGCAATAATGCCATTGGGATTAAACTTCCTACTCTTTTAAACCAACCAAAATGTCACTAAAGAAACCTCCAAATGATCCCAATCCCTTGAAGGGGTTCCAACTGCCTGTTTCCTGATTTTAAAAAAGTACTACGGTTGCCTGGTTTTATAAGAGATGCGAAATCCATTTTAAGCCCGTTGTCGAATGTACAGTGGAAGAATAATTATCATCACTTTATTCATCTGTGCTGCATGATTTAGCGCTTAGAGCCTTGGAACATCACCTTTGCAAATACAGCAACTATAAACCACAGTTAGAAACATTTTTTTGCTGTGCCTCTGTGTCTTTTTCATGTTGGAAGATTGCACAGCGATAACATGCATTCCCCTTCCATTTTTTCCCAGTTTCCAGTGTATTTTGGAAATATGAATGGAAAAAACATGCGTGTTTTTTTCCTTTTTCGTTTCTTTGGTTGGTGGAGGGCTGCTTCCTATTCTTATGAAGATGATGTGCTCAGAAAACCGTTGCAATGTGAAGCCCTGTGGATCTTTTATTTATTTGTAATCTTAGATTCCACAGGGACTTAACTATTGGTGGATCACTAGTTTTATACAATTTGTGAATGTCATATATTGCCATGTTAGTGTTCCCACTGTTATTATGGGTTTTACAATATAATGTTTGATGATCTTGCCCCATAATTTTGAATTATTCTCCTTTTTTCCTGGTTTTGTTTTTAATGTGATCACAAGGACTGTTTATTAGATACAGGTGCTCCTAAGTGTTTATCCCCGCCCTGCCTGGCATGCTATTTTAGTGGGGTTGGTGTTAGAGCACAACCAGCTATGACTAAGGCCGAGTAAGGCAGAAATGCGTCAGTGGTTCTTTGTATAGTTGCAAGTGGAATAAAGTTTTAATTTATTTGGAAGATCTTCCTGTGCTGGTTCTACAGTTTTTTTTGCCTGCTTCCTGATCTGTGCTGTCTCTTCATTCAGTAAAAGGTTAATAACCTTTTCTAAAATTCTGGTGTAATTATTCTTTCCATTGCTTCTATCACCCAGCCGTCCTTGAGGGAAACCAGGACTACACTATGTCATAAGTTGTAAAGAGTTCTCTCTAAATTTAATGGGGTAGTGTATGACAGTGATCTTTTGTGCTGTGTGAGGTACCATAACTAAGTAAAGAAAAGTTACTAGCACTCCAGTGTAAATTCAACTCAATATTGACTACTAAGTGTCACATCATCACAGGCGACGTTTCAGGACTGCATGGTTCCTTCCTCAGGCAAAACAGAGAGTGAACACCAGAAAAAACATGTAAATTGTATACAAGGAAGTGCAAACCAATAAACCAATCAAAATATGACATACTTCCCCTCTGACGCCAAAATCACCAATCTTTTACAAACGCAGGAGGTTTACGAACCAGAGGTTGTAAGACGGAGTCCAGTACTTGTGCTAGGGGTTGTGTGACTGAATCAGTGCCGGACACAATTGGCCTAAATTTTAAAGGGTAAGTGCCCTTATGCATCTTCGTTAAACCATAAATGACCGGGATACGTGCGTTTGCATTTAACAAAAAATCTGACATCTCCTTACTGATCCATTCATTTGCTACCCCAATATTAATAAATGATGAGAGATCTTTGGAGGTGTCATGTATGATGGATCGAGTGATGGGAGTATAGCTAGTCTCGTCCATGAGCATGTTCAACATCCCGTTTTTATAATCAATGTAGTCCAATATGACCACGGCTTCCCTCTGCGGGTTTGATAATGATATTCGTGTCCTCTTTTAATGATCTCATGATACTCCACTAATTTTTAGACAGGTGATCTCTTACTGCCCTTCATGTTAGATACCTCAAATTCCAAAGTTTTAACAAAACTGTCAATTGTAGGAAACTGACCTGGAGGAATAAAGTTACTCTTATTCCTAAAGGAAACATTTCCATCTGGTAATGGTATGGGTGTGGATGTGGCAAAGTATTGTTTTGAGTTTCATATTCCTTTCAAATGTAAACACGTCAACAACAAACTGGAATGCATTGAAGCGCCCACTAGGACAAAATGAAAGACTTTTGGACAAAAGGTCGCACTCAGCCTTTGTGATGATCCGGGAGGATAGAATAACTACCGCGTTCCCTACGGGGGTTTGCCTTTGAATGTCTGTGTCCTTACGCTTCGTGCTCCTGTGTCCCCTCCAAGGTCTCCTGCATCTGCGGCCTTCTGAAAAAGGGAAGCCATATCCCTAGTCTGGCCCGACAGACAGGGAGCGGCTCCTGTTTCACTATCCGATGATGGATTTGTAAGCCACGGGTACAATGGCTTGCCTCCTTGTAGTCCAAGTTGACCAATTTAAACTTATTCCATTTCACGTGCCTTTGTTTGTCAGTATAGATGTCAATCTGTATATCAATCTTTTGTAAATCACCATTTAACCTCTTAGTATCTGACATCTTCTCTCTCAGGGATAGCTCCAGACCAGCAATTTCTCTGTTATCTTAACATAGTTGGATCTTCACCTCCTATAGTAATCTGATAGAGTTTGGCCATGGAGTTCCAGATCTGTAAGTCTCCTCCTGAGTTGTTTCAACTCTTTGAAAATGTCATCAGTGGTGTCTGTGCCAAAAGCTTTGGGAAGAGAATAGTGTCAATTTCTTCAGGGCTGTACAGGTGAAACTCGAATAATTAGAATATCGTACAAAGTTTATTTATTTCACAAATGCAACTTAAAAGGTGAAACTAATATATGAGATTGACTCATTACATGCAAAGCAAGATAGTTCAAGCCGTGATTTGTCATAATTGTGATGATTATGGCTTACAGCTCATGAAAACCCCAAGAACCCCAAATCCACAACCTCAAAAAAGTAGATTATTACATGCAATCAATAAAACAAGAATTGTACATAGAACAATATCGGACCTCTGAAAAGTACAAGCATGCATATGTACTCAGTACTTGGTTTGGGCCCCTTTTGCAGCACTTACTGCAATTACTTTTGCACGATATTTGAATTATTCGAGTTTCACCTGTAAGTGTTGCAAGTAATCCTCAAAGGTGATCGTTGCCTTCCATTGACAAAAATAAATAAAAAGTCCCAGTCCAGTGATCAAATAGCTCTGCGGTTCTTGGTATATATAAACCTTAATAGGGTAACAAAAATCGGGGGTGCACATAAATGGGTAAAGCAATCTCAATTCAAAGCACATAGAAACCCATCGCACTCCTGACTGGGGAAAAACCCAGAAAATTCAGGTGGGTGCTAAAATGACAGCAGATGCCTCCGCAAAATGAATCCAGTTAAATCAAAGTCTCTAGCATTACAGCATTGCAATACATGTCAATATTTTAGTGTCCATTAATGCATAAACTGTACACCGCTCATGTATACCCAAATCTGTCATGATATACCCAAAGAAAGGACATACCTAGTGCTGGACGCTGTATGTGTGATTGTGGACCTTAGGTGGCTCCGTGATCAAAGAGAGGCGTAACAAGCTCTCATGTAGTGCAGGGACTTGCTCCGCCCCACACTACTATGTGTGGGGAAAGGTAGGCATAATCAGTGTCATGGTTACCACGTAGGGGAGATGACGCAGGCACATCCATACACTTCACTGTGTGGAGATGAGCGCCCATCCCCCATGCTCCAGTGACGTGGTACTGCCCTGTCAAACCTGCCTGCACATAGTTATGACAGTGTGGGCAGCGTCCAAAATGTCATGGCAAACATGAGACGTGAGAAATCTTGGCCGGCTCAGTGAGCACCAGCGCTAGAACCCAAATGGGATAACACGTATACGGTGCATAAGTTAATTGCTCAGCCACAACTAGGGAACAGTTATACCAAAAGAGGACCCCGGTAATGAAAAACTACAACTAGGACTGGTGATAATTTACCCAACTAACAAAGTACAGTTATGTTGGCAAACAACCAGGCAAAAGCTTGGTTACCGCAGATAATATATCATTCTCTTTTCAAAGAGGGTGCGGTAGATTCACCTAGATGAGAGGCTAATGCATAAAATTGTAATACTCCAAGGTTGTAACATATTGGGGAAAGAGTTCACTTTTTTGAATAAAAGGCCTGGTTTAAGTTTTTCATCTAAAAGTGTTTAGTAGTTACCTGTACCATCTCTTGTATGACTAAAAACTTAAGCTTCAGTACGTGGATGTACAGTAAGTTTCATAGAGACTGGA